CTGAAAAACCGAATCCTGCAGTAAAACCACTGAGCAGAGCAGGCAGGTGCAGGAGCACAGCACTTCCCTTTGCACTACACCGGAGGCAGTGTGCAAAATGTGTGAGCTGGTGTGATTCGAGCTGGGAGGGGGCAAGGGCAAGCCAGTCAGGTTACTTGTCCCCACTGGTCTGTCAGTCAGAGCCTAGGGTCCTCTGCATCAGTAGAGCAATGTTCTTCATATCAGGGTTATTCTCTCAAGGCTGCTGATGATTGGAAGGTGTTTTGGATAAGTCTGGTAGTCATCCATCGCACTCATTTGAAGATTACCATGAATATCTATCAAATGACAGACTGGGGGTTAAGAGAGTTCTAGCTCCCAAGGCATCTCCAGGAAGAGGCATACTCACAAAATGGGACACAAACCTCCTGTATGCAATTAAATGCTCATAGCACAGTCACCATCTCTTCTTGGCTTTCTACAAAAAGCAGGAGAACAATAGAGAATTTACCAAGAAAAAAAATAATCACCTTTAATTTAAAAAGCTTTTCTGGAACTATAACTTAGCTCAAACACCTCTCACTATGGAGTTAGCATAATCCTTTAGGTTTTAAGAGATGCTCATCCCTGACAGATGCCAGTCACAGCAAAATTAACCTCGTCAAAATCAGAACAGAAGGTCCCATCGGTGACTTGGAACTGAAACACTAAAGTATTCTTGAATTTGTATCACACTATCCATTTCAGTTTTGTGAAGAATTGCTTTTGTTGGATTTTTTGGGTTTGGGTTTAATTTTGGTCGGTTTGTTTTGTTTTCTTGCATCTGGTAACAAAATGAGAGGGAAAGAGACATCTCCTCTGTGTGATACTTGCTCAGGTTTCCTAGTCTTCACCTAAAAGAACAAACCATAACACCTTCTCACAGGGATGTGCTCTGGATAGTTCCTTCTCATCACAGGCATTTCTCACTACTTCTGCACCAAGTTAAGCTAAAGTTTGTTTGATAGACACTTCACTGTCTGTCAGGACACCCCAAGGGCTGGTAGCTCCATCCCAGTGGCCCCAGGAAGGAAGTAGGGTGTCTTAGTTTCTGCTGGGATAGAGCTATTTCTTCTCAGTAGCTGGTACAGTGTTGTAGTTCTGATTCAGAATGAGAGTATGTCAGTACAAAACATACTGATGTTTTGGATTTTGCTAACAAAAGAAAACTGGGAGGGAGTTGAGCCAGGACAGATGACCCCAACTGGCCAAAGGGATATTCCATACCATAGAACATCATGCCAAGTATATAAAGAAAGTGTGGAAGTTACCCAGAAGGGGGGCAGGGGTGGATGTTTAGCTTTTTTCCTCTTTCCTTTTTTATTATTATTATTATTTACCATTATTAATGTATTTTACTTTGTTTTCAATTATTAAATTGTTCTCACCTCAAACTACAAGTTTTACTTTCGATTCTCCTCCCAATTTCAGTGGGGTTGGGGGGACAGAGAGGGGGGTTGAGGAAGTGACTACATGGTGCTTTAGTTCCAGCTAGGCTGAAAAATACAACACAGGGATAAGTGGGACCCTTGGGCCCTAAGGAGGGCAGTTAAGGTTTACTTCTGCCCTAGGGGCCCTGATATTTATAAACCATCAGTAAGAAGGGACCACCCATTCTCTGCAAATACTAGACAAGACTTATAAAATGCCTTGTTAAAATCATCTCTGTATTTTCAGAAAGGGGAAGTTTCCATTTCATTAGAACAAAATGAAACCAGAATTTCAAAAAAGGAGCAAGCACAAAACTACAGAAAAAAGTGTGTAGGTGATGAACAGTCTCTTTAAAGCTCTTGCAAGACAAACATCCAAACATGGAACACACACAAAACAAAAATTTAATAAAGAAAAGTTGCAAATTTTACATCATAAGCATCATAACCTTCCATTAAAATCTTATTCCTGAGTTCTTTTTATGTGCAGAAATTAGACTGATTCTCTGGACGTCTGCTTTAGTGTCCTCCTGAAGTCACTGGCTTTCTTTTTTTTCCCCAACCCACTTTCTGTCTCTTGCTTCATCCAGAGGCTTGGGTTTGGTTAATTTGCTTCCCTTTAATTTCATTACCCAGAAGACATCCATGAATTACATTAGCTTTACTCACCTCACATGGAGATCTTCTTTATTCTCCTTACTGAATGGAAAGTTTTGCTTGCAATGGTTTTGAGGAGGATGGGACTAAGCTAATGTGTAAGACTTGAAAAGTTCACATGGGAGGGCTTTGTCACAGCACTGGCCACTTTCCTAATGTTCCTCTCACTCATTTCCTCCATTTGAGGTCTTCTGCATTTCCCCCCAGCTCTGGAGGAGCTGCAGCAGAAGACTGCTCACTGGGACACTGCTGGGAACCATGCTGGTCCCAGAGAGCGACACAGCACCTTGGAGCTGCTCTAGCTTCACCTTGCTGCAAGGAGAGCACGGGACAAACAGAGCCAAGCTCACAGCTCCTGTTTGCCCAGACAGGGCAAGGTGGTTACTGCTAATGTTGTGCCATGACCAGATAAAACCAATGGTTCAGCAGCCTGAATGAAGATTACTGCAGCAGTCCCAACTGCTGCTTGCTGTTTTTCTCAGCATGCTTCAGTGGAGGAATGAGAGGGGGAAAAAAACAACAGTGCCGTATGAAAAAACTTTGTAGTGCCTTTATTGAATTTAAAAATGCACCTTTCTTCAAAGTGCCTTTACATAACACACATGAAAACTTTAGCATCATTTGTGCAAGTATATCAAAAGGAACAAATATTTTTTAAAAACCAGTATTTTGGCTCAGTAAAATAACTTTCCTATCCCTAAAGGTAGGGATAACAAGTAGCAGTTTTCCATTCAATCTATTCCAGTCAGCAGAAGTAATTCAGGAGGCTTGAGGTTGCTGGAACTCTATTGGCTGGACTGCATACCGTGAGTTGTCAAGGTGGAAGCACAATGTCAGTATTACACCCTAGTTCTCAGAGCACAAATACCATACTGCCAGTGCCTGGTCTTCACATTTGATACAGGGATCTTCTTACAGAAGAGTTCTGTGACCAAACCATATGGCTTCAGTCCTATATAATTCTTCTATTGATGTGAACCATAACAATGAGCCTTGCTGAGATGGTTCTCAGTAACTTCAGATGGACCTTAAGGCTCTTTTACCCTACAACAGGCTGCCACTGAACACACAGCATATTTGAAAGCAGACTGTGTGCAACAGCTAAGTGAATGTGGTACTTCATGACTGTGACTGATTCTCCCTTGACACTTCTTTCATGACTAAAACAAGAACGAGAAGAGACTATAAGCCTTTGCATTGGTCTATACAGACATGGCACTTCAGCACCATGACAGTTTGAAATAGTCTGATGTTTCAAATGCACTTTTTTCCCCTCCTGTCCTGAAATGAAGAGATTTTTATTCTATTCTGGCCAAACACATACACAACTCAAAGCTCAGAAGGTACTGTCTGTAGAGTCAGAGTTTCAAGTCTCCAGCATACACTGAGGCAAGTAAAGCGATTTAGGTAGGAGAGGAATCCATTTCCACTGTTTTTGTCACTTAACAGGCAGAACACAAGGATCAGTTTTGTTTGGTTGAGGATGGAGGCATAACAAAAATGTTTGAGCTGTGAAAGAAGAAAAAGCTAATACTGCAGTGTCCAAATGAATAGATGACTGCTGAAGGATGCAGAACATGGGTTTTTTTCAGATGAACAAGTGGAGATACCAAAGGAAAAATTTCTGCCTAATACTGTATTAGCAACAACCTTCAAGGAGAGTTTGGAAAGTGATGGAGTTTGATATAACAGTAAGTTGCTTGTTTCAAGATAAGGGAACAGTATGGGAAAACATAGGCTGGAGTTTAAAGGGGAGGAGAGCAAAAAGTGCTGCAAGGGACACAGATAGGAATTCAGAGTTGCAAGCAGCAGTTAGAGGCAGTAACAGTAAAATCCTGAGGCTTCCATATACAACAAGATTTCATTGCTTAAAAAGGTAACTTTCAAGGACAGACTGAAAAGTACAGGCAATTTGGCTTTCATCTCCCGTTTCTATAAAATTCATAGCTATAAACATAGCATGAAAGAGGCCTGCTAATTAATTTTTTTAATCAATCAAGTCAATTCCCTGCCCTGAAAAAAGAACTGAACGTTGCAAACTATGTCACTGCCTACACACAAGTCAAACATAACTTCAGAGTTAACAGCTGTGGGATACCTAATATTGTAAAAAACCTTTAAAATGGAAGATAAAGGATTCAACATACACACTGAGTTTTAACAACTTCATTTCCCAAACAGCTGTTTGGAAAACTGTGACTGCAGCCTCCAGTACACAGTCACCGCTGATTCTTTACATCATCAGAGCAGAGAGAAAGGACAATGCAAGCAGCTGCAAGGGGTAACACAGGGCATATCTCTCTCTCTCTCTCTCTCTCTGTTTTGTAAGAATATCTGGAGCTGAAAAGCATGGTCTCATCACACTTCTCTGACTGCACTCTGAACCCTTTGGGAGACAGGAACACACCAATCTGGGAGAACATTAACCCAAGGAAAAGGACAATTTCTGCCACATTAGTGTGTTCAGCCAGCTTCAGCTTTCAGAGCTGACAAATGCTAGAGCCAGCCCTCTGACCAGGAACAGGAGGAAAGATCTGCTCTCCTTCAGCACCAGCAACTCACAAGAAATAGGAGCCCTGAAGCCCGTTGATGTGGTCCTTAAGGTAAGGCAGACGAAGTCAATCATCCTGTAGCCCCATGAGAGGCTCTTGTGTCATTAGCCAATTGTTCCACTTGGGTAAAAAAATACATTAAGCCACTAAATTGGAAAAAAAAAAAAGTCCAGTGGAGATTAATTTTTTGACTCAAAAAAGCATTATAAAGGTATTTTTCTGATGTCTATATGCGACAAGTGACTAAAAATGGCACTGTTCTTTAAAATGTAAAAAAAGACCAGAGAAGAGTATGCTTTTTTAGGTTCAACAGCACTCTGGGGGGCCTGGGATTGTCTCTTACCTTTTCTCTCGGACGATAGCACACTGAGGCAGTACCACAGGGGAATTTATCTTTCAGTAAACCGAACAAGGCAAATAACAAACTTGCAACAAAGAAAAGTTTTGTGTCATTAAAAAAAATGAAACAAATATTTACTGGCATCAATCATGCCCATTCCATAATATCATGATTATAATTAATATAATTCTCTTCATGTCCAGACTTTACTTGTAAAAAAACAAGTTTTCTGAGGATTTTTTGATAGTTTCTTTGCCTTCTATTTTCAACACTATGAGAATTCCACCAAATCACAGTGCAATTCTTGGAAAAGTACTCGTGTGCTTCCTACATGTGCTACTGATGATATTTCAAGTTGTTCTGTTGATCCAGCCAGAAGAAAAAAAGATTCACATCTGTAGATAAAGCTGTAGTACCTTCACTTAAGAAAATCTGGATAAGATTGCACAAAACAGATGCGTGTGACTTTCAGTCAGTCCATCACCAACTATGTGAACTGAATCGGTCATTAAGTGTCATTTCCCTTTTGTTACTTAAGGTGAATTCAAGTCTTTTGGTAACAAATGCAATCCTGACAAAGATTCACTTTTTCTGGATGGCATGTGGTAGCGCACTTTCTTCCAGAATCTGGTACCTGCTGAGTGAGACCTTTCTGAGAAGTCCCCTTTCCATCGGATAGCCCCATGCTTTTGCTTAATATATTTGATGGATTCCGGCATGATCGCATAATCTTGTATTTTTTCAAGTTCAATGAGAATTACTTTAATGCCATCTTGGATAAGAGCATTATACATGGCTAGCTGCTTTTCAGACACATCTTCTAGAATGCTATAACAGGAGGGCTCTGGTACTAAAACAATTATCACTCTTCTACTTTGACGGATTTTTTCATCAGCAACACTGATCACAGCTGTAAAAAAAAAAAAAAAAGGTTGTGCAAAAACAAGACTGTATGTTTCTACGTTATGTTACCAACATTTTGCAGCTGGCTCATTCATTGTTTGATATTTAAGCCAACACACTTTACATCTCAAATAGGGACAGGATACGAGCATGCAAGCAGTTACCTTGGGTTAGCCAACCCTAGAGATTTGGCCAATGCAACAATATGACCCCATTAGACTGCATGTCTATTTTCCTGTTTTGCATAGACAAAGGAGAGCTGCCAACTATCTACTACGTATCTTGCTAATGCCATTTTATTGCCATCGTAGGTACAAATGCAAAAAACCAAGTTCCAGAACCACAGGACCTTTTACCTTAAACAGCCTGTTCTGATATGCTCATCTGCTTTTGTTAGATGTAAGTAGAAGAGAAAGAAAAGAATCCTCCCTTCAATGTCATGCCAGTCAATTAAGTCTCAAACAGTAAGATATGGTAAATACCACACAAAAGCCACATGGCTCAACCCTGAGAACAGATTATTGCATTTTTTCAAGCTGGAAAAATTAAGCAGCACTTTAAATTCTACTTCTCAGGGAACCCTTCTTCCTCAAACCACTACCAAAATCCTTCAAATATAAAAAAAAAAAAAGAAAAAAAAAAAGAGTATCCACGGGCCACCTCATGTAAGTAGGTTCATACACAACTGTTTTTTAAATAAAAAACTTCTGGTTTTGGCCTACTCTTCAAATTTATTCAGTCTCAGTATTATCTTTTTAAAGTCATAAGACCTGAAGGATTCAGAAGCCTTTAATCATTTGACCTCACAGAAGCAGTCAGTGGGACAGGTTTTGTAATTTTCAGTCTCGGATACTAAATTTGATGCACACATACACACCGAGGATTTTTAATCCACAAGGATTTTTAAGTCTTGTAAGGAAGGGAAGGCTTTCTAAGAACTTTTACAAGGGACAAATAGTCTTTGATACAGCTGATCATTCCTGGTAACTTGCTGTAGTTTTGGTTTTTTCCATCTGCACTGTCTAAGCATCCATTATACCCTTTATTGCATCCTGCTCGTTTGACAGCAAATCTTAGAGCAAATAAAAATGAAACAATAGACATCATCCTTTTAAATGGCACCTCAAAGCAATAGGCTTTTTTCACACTGCTCATGAGATCTACTTTTCCATGTTTCCTGCCATTAGTCATCATTCACAATCAAAATTTCAACTCTTCTTCCCCTCAGCATTGTTCCATGTCTAGATGTCTAGGCTGAGATAAAGAGAGGTTGTGGAAGCACCTGGTGCTGTATCTCTCATTCTCCATCAAAGTGAGTAAGAGAATCATAGTTCATCTGATGGTGAGAGATATTTAGAATCCTGATTGCCTGTTTCTCAATTGTATTTGCAGGTCAACAATAAAACTCAAGTCCAGTTTGTCTTCAGATAGCTTACCTTCTCCTGGTAAATCATCCCTCCCAAATATGAAGAGGTTATATCCACACTGTCTTTCTAAGACCTCTGGAAGTATTTTCAGAGCAAAAATATCTGATGAGTACAAGCAGCTCTCTCTGTTCTTTGGATACAGAACATAAGCATCATAGATCTTCTCATCTGAAACTAAGGAATGAGCAATAGGACAAATAAAAATGAATTCTAAAGATACGAAAGCAAGCAAGCAAACAAACGGACAAACAAAAATCTCTAAACTCTGGGGCTTTTTGCCCCACTTGAATCATTGTTTATCATGCTTTTGTTATCTGAACTAATTCTAAACATCTTAAAAACATATTATCCTTTCAAAATTTCCAAGGAAGACCAATCACACTCCATGAAGTTAACTCACTGCTATGCAAAGGAAGATGGAAGCTCAATACAACAGTCAGCATTGTTACACAAACATACCTTTTTTACCCAGGAAAGGATGGCAGGAGTCCCGATACCAAAGCACAATATCAATTTTGAAGATCTTGTAGATAAAGAGAGTAAAACATACTAAAAATACCAAGGAAACTCCTCCTCCAATTAAGTAACCCTGAATGTTTTGTGCTGCAGTAAAGTGGAATAAAAGAAAACAAATAAAGTACAGTTATAAACTAGAATCAGGGAAGACAAGAAATGGGCAAAACTGTTTAGTCTTTAAAATATTTTAAAAAAAAAGAAGGAATGAATGAATAGGTGAATCTTTTTCACATGTGCTTTCTGCAAATACTCTTATTTGACAAGCCTACTTTTATCTTTCAGAGAAAAAATACCTTATCAATGTGACGAAAAGAGGCTACTTTTCACCAAACACCAAAATAAACACCAAAATAAACTACTGATGCATATCCCAGCACAGTAGTAGAGTGAGAATTCTTGTACAAAATTTTATCTGTCAGAAAGCAAGGAAGTCAGAGGTGGGAAGGTGTTTTCCTGACCATGCTGTTCTCCCCAGACCAACTAGTCAACTCTAGCCTCTTCAGTGACCTGTCATTGACCCTTCTTATTTACTGTTCTCATACAAACACCCTCCACAAAATGCATTTTTTAGTTAATGCATACTAAGGAGTTTCTGAGTTTAAATCCTACCCTGATAATCTTTATGAAGAAATTGTAGTTATGTAGTAAGTTAGAGCTCAGATCCACTTTCAGTCAATGATTTATTTACAATGCAGCCAGTTAGAGGTTAGCTTGGGAGGAACATTTGTCAGGGGATTGGCTCACAGTTGACAAAGTCAAATCAAAACAAGCTCACCAGAAGCCCTTCTGCAGCTAAATTTAAAAAAAAAAATGTACTTAGAACATCTGATTTGCTTGTCTGTATCTGTATCTGTTTTGAAATAAAAAGAATTCATTTCTTCAGCCTTGCATTTAAGTTTTCAAAGCTCACTTTATCTTTCAGTTCATCTACTAAAAACAAAAATTTATGCTTGCTAGGAATAAGTCAAACTTATCCTAGTCTCTGAGCACCAGACCGGGGTCTCCAAGTGGCAGGATGCTCTCAATCTACATGCATAAGCCTATCTAGAAAGTGGTTAACACAGCACATGTATCAGTCAGTAACGAAAAGTCCATAACCTTTCCAAGCAATCTATTCCATTTCTTTATTACTACCATTGTTACATTGTTTTTCCTACCATACAGATTCTTTTTCTTTCTCCTAGCAATCTCACCCCATTATTTGTTATGGTATAATAGAACAATCAGGTCCACATACACACTCATGTTCTTTTGACAGTCTGTTCCATACTAAGCTATGTCTTCTACCCAGCTCTTTTAAAGAAGTGACCGTTTCCACTGCTCTTCTAGACACACAATATCCTCTGATCCACGTGCTTCTTTAGGTACAAGTATGTCAAATGAAGCAAAGTATTCCACCAAAGTCTCCTACTTGCTTCAAATAAATTGGAGTCTTTAATTATTGTTTTCTAAAGTACTGAATGTGAGAGGATAAAGCAAATCAAAGTGTTATTTTCTTTTATTTTGCTAAGAATATGGCAAAAAATTCACAAAAGGTACTGAGCTGCCCTGCCCCCTTTATCACACAGCTTTAGCTCTAAGTAGGGTGTTGTCAAACCAACTGAGAAGTAAGTATACTGGTCACCATTTTATTAAGAAGAGATCTCTTACCTGGGCGTTCCAATTTGATGTAGGCTGTAAATTGCTGAGAACCATATATGAAGTGACAGAAAAATTTGTGAGCGTAATCCTTTGTTTTCACTTTTGAAATGTTAAATTTTGTTCCAGATACTGCAAGTCCATGAGGCAACCCCTCTCTGTCATTAAAAAGGGGTAAAAAAGAAACATCTGTATGGAAACCGACTATCTGTACTTAATAGGGGACAGATTCATCTATCCACTAACACAAGAACATTCGTTTTTTTAACTTTATAAACCTCAGAAGCCAGTGAAGCACAGTAAGCAGACTTCTTTAACAAACAGCTTCATGAATAGAGAAGATCTTGGGTTCTTGGTTGGTTTGGGGTTTTTGGGGTTTTGTTTTGGTTTTTTTTTTTGCTAAGTTGGACAGAGTGCACCACTAGCAGTTTTGCAGGTGATACAAAACTCAAAGGGATAATGATAGAAGAGCTGCCATCTTGTGGAACCTTGAGGCTGAAGAAATGGGTTGACAGGACACCTCATGAAGTTCAAAGTAAAATGCAAATCCTGCATCTGAGGAGGGATAACCAGACCCCAGGCATCCTGGACTGCACTAAGAAAAACACTGCCAGCAGGTTAAGGAAAATGATCCTTCCCCTCTGTTCCTCATTGGTGAGGTCACACCTGGAGCCAGTGAGGCCAGTTCTGGGCTCCCTGGTACAAGATGTATGGATTTGCTGGAGCAAGTGCAAGGAAGTGAAAATGTTAAGAAATTGGAGTATCTGTCATATGAGAGAGCAGAGACTGCTCAGCCTAGAAAAGAAAAGGCTCATGGGCAAGGGGTGGATCTCATCAATGTGCATAAATACTCAGTGGGAGGGAGGAGTGGATAAGAGGGAGCCAGGCTCCTTTCAGTAGTGCCCACTGACAGGACAAGAGCCAATGAGCACAAATTGAAACACTTTTCCATATCAAATTCCATCTGAACACTTTTTTACTATCAGGATAGTCAAGCACAGGAACAGGTTTCCCAGAGCTGTGAACTCTCCACCTGTGGAGATATTCAAAATCAACTGGACACGTCCCTGAGCACCCTGTTCCATCTGGCCCTGCCTAGGCAAGGGAGTTGGACTAGACAATCTCAACAGGTCCCTTCTAACCTGAGTGATTCCGTGAATGAAAGACTATATAAACCAGTAATACCTAGTAATAAAAGTGACAAGAGAAAAATCACCCTCTAGGATTTTTTACACAGATGATGAAGCAGAGACCTTTCTAAGCACTTTAACAGACTCCCAAAGCCCACATTGCTCACAGTCAATGGTGACAACCCCTAGGAAAATAGTGATGAACAAAATTCACCCTTGTGTGAAATGACAACAAACATGGCAATAATACCTTTATGTCTGACAGCCATTGTCACAAAAAGCTTGGAGATACAGTATGATATCCTGTTAAAACCATCCTGCTCTAAGATAGATTAACAAGAATAAGGTGAGAGAGGCCGCAATGGGAAGGTACATACAAACTGGCATTCTACTCTACATATCAAAGTAATACTATTACCTGATGTACTCAAGGAGAGAACTCATTTTGCAGGACACCGTGAAGAAACAGTTTTTATTACATAAATAATTGCCAGCAAATTCTGTCATGGGATGCCAATACAAACGTCATTATTTTGCAACACGTTTGGATTTGTTCGAGTCAGTTTTAACTTTCATCCCAGCACAGGAGCTACCTCCTAGGTGTAAGCCTCAAGTCTATTTTGTTGGCCATGGCTACGGTGTAGGTTGCTACAGAGAATGCTTCACAAATTTAACTGCTGAGGAACTGCTACTATTTTATGAAATAAAACATTAATGTTGCAATTAATTTTTCTGATATTGGATAACTTGCTTTGAACTTGCACAGGATGTATTTTGCACATCTCCATCTCTGGCATGGGAAAATTATCTGGCGGGGTAGTGATTAGAAATGGAGATCACTTCCAAGCAAGCCACAAATCTTAAGAGAGAAGTGCTTTAACTTAAATATATTAAATGCTTTCCAGGAAGATGTGTTTAAGAGCAGAATAAGGTTTCAGAAGAAGCTGAAGATACTACCACTATAAACAGTTACACACAGCTACACTGGTGAAGATAAGAAATTTCATGTCCTGAAGAATAATGGACTTAGTTGTGCCTTAGAGACCATAAGCTGGGGCCTTGGCATTTATAGACAAACAAGAAGTATACAGATCTATAACGAAAGCAGTAATTCCCCCTTAAAGAACCTGAGGACAAAGTAGAGGCCAGATACAGATGAATGAAGTAGGTAATTTTAAAAGCAGTCTGCTGCCTAACTCTCTAGCCATAATCTGCACTGGTGACAGCACTTGGTGGAGAAGACAATGCTTCTCCATGAATGTGAACTAATCAGCTGAGAATTTTTTTCTTCTTCGCACTAGATTTTAAGGGTTATGTTTAATAGCAGTGATTGATACAATGAGAAAGAAAAGAGTACATCCACATTTTGTTACAGCATAGACCAGCTACTGAGTGAAAAGTCCTGCTCTCCCTAAAGAATTGCTGCTTTTACCAGCTTAATTATATTCTCCTGAACATAAAAAATCCAAATCTAAATGTCCTGCAACAAGAGCTTCTGCTTTGTGTTCTTGAGGATTAGCAAATGTGTCTGTACTCAGAAAAGAACCGACTTCACAAATAAAACTAGGTTTGGTGATTTTTTTTTGTTTTGGAACAATCTATCCTTTCCATATTAAGGATAAAGGGCTTTAATCTATTATCAAAAAAATCACCTAAGAACAAATGCATAAGCAAGTATTAAAAAATTATATTTCACAACAGGATTATAAAAATCTACATATGATTGCTTCATTACATTTGTATCAAATACATCAGTATTTATAATTAAATGTCAATATCATTTTTTAAAAACCAAGCAAAAAGAATATACCGTGTTTGATGCAGACTTCTAATCAGTCTTTCAATGACTACTGACATTTGACTGGAGGTCAGCTTTGCAAATGCACTTATAATTCCATGTATAAGGATACTTACTCATAAAACTGTTCCCTGTAGGTTTTATCAAAGATATCAACATCCTCATCATTAACTTGCCAGAATGGAATTAAGCCATTTATGCCACTTGATATATTACATTCCATAACTACATGAGAGCCTACAAAAAAACATTTAAACATAGGAACTGAAGGTCTTGTAACAGAAGCAGGATCAAGTGATGAAGGAACAGTCGGGAACAGGAGGGATATAAAAAAAATAAATACCTTAAGAAAAACCAGAGTCCTAAAACTCATCCATTTGTAATCCAAGTTTGGGTGCCTACAACCTGGATATAAATCCCACCCTAAATGCAGGTGTCTAAATGTTCACATCTACATGTAAGCTAGATGTCTAAGCTAGTAACACAGTTCAGCTCTGCTGAAGTCCACACACTGAAGTCGATACCTTAACTGAATGGCTCTCCCAACTCCACTGAAAGATCTCCAGGGCTCAAATCAGTTGCATGTACACACTGTGGCAACATCCAAGGTATCTATATGGAGTTGTCAGACAGGACTCCAGATCTTAAAGAAATCTGCACTGCTAGAGTAGCCAGACTGCTCAAAACAGCACTCCATGTGTAGGCAACTGAGTTGAGCCCCCGTTGATAACGGCACGGGGTAAGGACGCTAGATCATATGCAGATACCCACGTGCAGACAACTACACCCTGGAGTTGAACCCCATTCTTAGGGACCATGCGTATCTTTACTCCACATCAGAGTCTTTTGGCCAGCACTGTCCACTGGGATGGTTTCTGAATATTGTCACATTCTACTCCCAGAGCAAGCTCACCTGTCACTCAGGTCCTTTGCCACCAAGAGTCCAGATCTTACAGAATGCCTCATATTACACAAATCAAGTTGCAAAACATATTTGTTTCCAATGTACCTCAGAGAGCTCCACGTACAGGAAGGTAAGCAGCTTTCTTGGATTCCTTTCCTTCTGTATTTTACCCACAGAAGTTATGATTTGATAGGAGAAGGTGGGCTGTCTCAGTTCACCTATGTAAAGATCTTAGTGTTTCATTTCCTAGAACCGCATCAGATCTAGATGCTTCTACCAAGGAATAATCTCTAACAAAAGTATGGAATAAACCTTTACCTTACGTGCAAAGCAGTTACTTGAACAAGAGTTTGCACAGGAATCAGAGATGTTCCCCAATCTCTTCCCTCCTGTCCTTCCACCATGATAATGAATTTTTCTAAAGATGTGGTTTAGTGTGTTGCACAGTTCTTCAAAAGGAAAAAAAACCCTCAAATGTATGTTCCATGCTCTCCATTTCCATGCATTCATAAATTTACTGTTAAGTTTCTGCACAACCTTCTCCTGCCATTTCTCATTCAAAAATCATACAGCTGTTTCCATGTTCATGCAGGTGTTTAAATATTCTGCACTACAGCCAGACATCTAATAAAGATTTTTTTTTTTCTTCCAGTAACCCATTAAAGGTACTGGACAGAGAATATTACTTTTGAATGGCTATGCCTTTTTAAAACAAACAAACCAACCAATTTCCTTAAATTCCTGTAAAGTGTCTCACCTAGTCCCCATGTAACAGGGGGGCAATATTTCCACAGATACTGAATATACATCAAGATAGGGACACTGAGAAGTGGCAGAAAGGACAGATGACAATAACAATAAATAAATAAATAAATAAATAAATAAACAGATAAATAAATTCATCCCGCACAACACTGCTGGTCAAGATACTCCAATCTTAGGCACATAGTTATTTCCCCCTACAAACTACTTGTGGGAATCATGTTCTATCATCTCTCATCTGTCTTCCAGATATCCTCAATCCACATGTTAATCTCCCAGTCTTGCTGAAGTCCATGGAACTGTTCACAGGTTATTTCACAAAGACCAGGAGCTTTGTTTTACTTAATAACCTCTTAAATAGTCAGTACTTACCAAGTTCTACTTCAATTGTATTGTTCTTCGGATAAATAAACTCTGGTTTTATCTGTGGTGGTTTTTCTAATCAAAACAAAGAAAAATCAAAAACTTCAGGCAGGAAGAGTTCCACAACTTACTTCAACTGACAGTTTTACAGTGGTTTTGGTTTTATTGTTTGGTACTATTGTAGTGTCATACTTACTACCAGTTTCAAATTTGCAACAGAAATATCTCATAAGACATTTGCTGTGCTCTCTCCAAATTATTCTCTTTTAGTTCCCAAGTTAACAAAAGGCTTTAGCTTACCTTAAAAATACTTAAAAAATAAATTCTCAAATTTACTTTTATATCAACTCCCAGTAAAACAACCAGAAAAAGACAAAACCAAAAAATGCAATTAACTTTTTCAGAGAGATGGATAAGGAAGAGAAAGAGGGATTGTATAAATGACCTCCTAGATAAGGTGAATATTTATTTAAGTAAAAGTTTAAATAAACACATGCTTAAACTGGGCTGGAATTGTATTGTTCTGCATCATGTTTAGACTGGCCGCTAACAACCCACTGTTCTTATATCATCTGCCTGAGTCAGAATTTTGATTCAATCTAAAAAGATGTACATGCTCTTTCCAGCCAACTATTCTGATAGGACTACTACCATGTTACTAGTCAGGTCACCAGCAATACTGCTCACAAAGACACAATTACAATGAACACAGCAATAAATGACACTACTGGGAGAGTGAGACAGCCAGTTCCACATCCTGTGTGCAGGAAAGCACAACTAAGTGGCAACAGTAAGCCAATCCTTTCTACAGCAAGATTTAACTTTATAGTATTTATGCAGCTTGTCACATCTCCTTTCCCATCAACCGAGATTCTAGTGAACTCTGTAAGCAAGTTCACCAGCAGGGCTGCAAGAAGGTGGTTTGCTCTGATAGACTCAGAAAAAAAATACTCTATTTTAAAATGTATTTAATTTAGTGGTCCATTATTTGTTTCAGCAAAAACAATGCCCTCACACCCCAGTAACCACTCCCTTCCTCTAATTCTCATTCCTAAGCCCGCAATACTCATTTCCCCATGACAATTCTTCCCCAAAAGCAATCCTTAAGGATAGCAACGTCCTTCACTGTATTTTAATTTTATATTCAGGAATAAATTAATTAAAGAAGATTTGCAACTCTGATTTCACAGAGCTGAAAGGTAATATGCCAGGTATCTTATGCCTGCATACAAATATTTACAGCAGAGCCAAAAAGAGACTAACCTCATGCACTCACCTTTAACTTCCAGACTTATGGTTCTTGAAACATTATATTGTTTTCCCATGTAGGTGTACACCACACGGCACGTGTAGTTTCCTCTATCTTGCACGGTTACGTTACGAATCAAGACAGCATTTTCACCCTCTGCCAAAAGAAGTCGCTTGTCTTCAAGAAATCCAGACTTACACTCCTAAATACATCAAAAGTACTTGTGACTTAAGGGAACTAAAAACCTGACAATTGAGTAAGTTACTGAACTCTACTGATTATTAAAATACTTGCCAAATACTGACTTTTTTGAAAGCCATTATGTGGGTTCTTATTCAAGCACCACTACACTCTAACATGAAGCCTGATGACATCTTGCTTCATTTGCACTTTTTAAAAAATCCCTGCAGCCAATCCTTTCAGTTTTCAAATGCTGTGCTTTAGTTCACTGCCTCCATTAATAGCATGGCAGTTATCCATCTCAGGTGTAATAGAAGTTATGCATGTAGCAGAGTTTATGAGAATACATGCCTGCATCCCTGCTTCACTGTGATGCAGTGCCTTGTGTTGTCTGGGTTTCTGTGGCAATGTGAATACAGCGAAAAACTTCCTTCTCTTCCTTGACCTACAAGCAGTGGAGAAACCCTTCATCTCAAAAGATGTATAGGTGCAGCACCGAGGTTATTTTATATATATGGCCCATGTAGCTGCTTTAATACCAGCATCAGAATTAAGAGTTGAACTACTTCATAATTTTACCTTAACACAGACAAAATACGTGTTTCTAAGCTTGCACAGTCTACAGAGTATTTTCATAGAACCAAAGCAAGCAGCATAAGAATACCACAGCATAGTCAACAGATAGGACATGCTTAATATTCTGAGAAACAGAAATAATTATCCAAAGCCTTGTATTTACAGAAACATACAAGTTTTAAAACTTATTATCTACATAAAATAATCAAATGAACCAGATTTTCACAAAACTTATTCACACTCATGCCTTGCTCAAACTGTAGAGAAAAGAAACCTTCCCTTCCAAAAGCAGCTTTTCCCAGGTACTCCACAAGACATTTTAAATAATACATGTTGTATCTTGTATATATGAAATACACATGCAAAATACCTTATACCAATGTACTTCAGGCTGATTATTGTCTTCAGCTTTAAATTGTTCCAGATCAGGACATATAATCTTTCCAGTATTTGTGCTCATCACTTTTTGTTCAAACTTCATTTTTCCATTAAAACACAAGCCATTATCATTCTTAAAAACTGTTAAATTTATAGTTTTTTTGTTAGAGTGGTTAAGGCTCCTGTAAACAGAACAGCAGACAAGTCAGGTCATTAACAGAAAGGTTCCTGCTTTCCAGCAAGTCAAGCAGTTTACAGACAGGACTTCAGCATCTTCACTGGCCTTGCCTCTAACACCCCTGCTGTATCCTCCTAGCTCATAAATACCATCCTCAGCCCCTCACCCCCATTCCAGATCAAGAGATGGGAATAAGCTCTGGTTTTGTGTTGTGAGCAGAGGTGGGGTCTGCTCTGGAAGCACCAGAGGGGATGTGAGGACTTCTCAGAACTCCAATGAAGGTTTAAGTGACTGATGCACAAAATGCTGCCTACAGTTAACACAACTGAACATTAGCAAGTTTCGTGTCCTGCTGACATTATGCAAGCCAGGGATGTGAGGTGGCCACAGGAACACATTTCATAGCTCAAGCAACTAGAAGCATAGCAGGAAAGACTAAGTTAAAATTATATAACTGGGTAGCTTTGAGAGGATTACATGTCTTCTGACTTCCAATTTCAGCTTCATTTGTCAGCTCTGGAGAAGGAACGTGCAAAGGCCCACAACATGGGAAGTTTCTGCTGATCGCTGTTACTACATTCACAACCCAAACCCCTCCAGGATAACTGGTGTACTGTATGCACACCACTACACATAACTACACACTACTAAAACAAATTCTGGGCCACCTGAAAAGCCTGTATTGGTTGTTCTCATTGTGTTGTGGCAAGACCATGAGGAAAGGAACAGTTTCTGTCTGTCTTCCCAAAATTAATTTCCTGTTCAGCACACAGTGAATTTCAACCATTATAAAAAAGATCTGACAACCTGAAGTAGTTAAGCCCAGTGCACTAATCTGAGCTGTAGATATAGCAAGAGCTTTAAAGTACCAAAAAAAGCTAGATAAAGATTCTTTTCAAAGAATCTATTCCCTTTATTTCTTCTCTGTGCACTCAGATTGTTTGAGTAGTATTACTGACACATCATTTTCACTGTCTCTAAAGCTGTCCAGCACATTGCTTTGCAAATCAAGAGCATTCTCATTTTTGACCAGTAACAATTGGTAATATTTTAAAATAAATCATAAGAAAGCTTTTCTGCCTTTTAATTTGTAAATTTCTAATAAGATTCGCAAAAAGTTGCTAAGCTCTCCAGAAAATCTGTGTAGTGATACTGCATAAAATGCAGTTTCCTCCTCTTAGATCCTTCTTCCATTTAGCCATGTTCTATGAAGAAAACAAAATGTTCTTCTGATCTGTCAGTATCAAACAGCAATTTGAACACAGGAAAAGTTGAAGCAGTGAAGATGTTTTCCTGTGACCTTATGCTTCATCCAAAACAAACAAGCAATCCTCACATTGTTAGTGAGATTGCTTCAAGATAAAGAGTCTTCTGTATGAACCACTTTTGCAATGGTAAATAGGTGGAAGAGAAAGGCATCATGCAGAAGTATAAAGCATGGTCAAAATAGTGCTTTTTAACTGTTTAAGCATTCTACCTAAAACAAAAAAAGTTTTGTATGCTCAAGTTCCACAAATACATTATCAAACTTGCAAGCATTAGTAACCCAGTTGTTTCCATCCTTCCTTCCTTACCTTACACCGCATTCATAAAGTCCAGAATCTTCCAGCATTGCAGGAATAAACCAAAGCAAGCCCTCTCGCTGGTGGATCCTGGCATTTGTCTCTGTAGTTACTGGTGTAGCACTAGCATTTTTATACCACGTCAGATTGTAATTAGAGTGAAGCACTGGCAGTGTAATAATGGGGCAAGTAATAGCAGTAGGCTCTCCAACAAGCACGAAGTAATCACAAAGAACACATTCCTCTACTAAAAAAAGATAAAAATTATCAATGCTTTTAATCTATACACTTATATGTTTTAAAAGTATCAATATCCATTCCAAGTGACACAGAATTAGAAAATAAACTTTCTGTAAAAATTTACCATTAAAACATCACAAGGCTATTATTTTTTGTTTGTTGAGCACCTTCTGGTTGAAGACATAAACACACATTTTACAAGCTTATGCCACAACTTCCCTCTGTTAAGGTATTCGGTAACAAGCACATGCAAGTCCAATACCCTCAGCACAAACCAGAGTATTAGATCCATGGGATTCACCAGGCAACTCCAAGCTTCCCAACTCACCTGTCATGTCCTTGTTATTTGAGCATGTTAGTACTTTTGCAGAATTTCCAGATTCTTAGTGTGAATACTACCTATGTAAAGCACAGTGCAAACAGTAGCAGAGTAGAGCTCCTGACACTACTCTGGCCATTATGACTGTGGGGCCAAAAACAAAACGGGGGTTAAAAAAACAGGTGTTTCTTAACCTGAAGCCAAAGACAGTATGGAATGATATCAAGACCTCAACACATCCAAGAAGACTGTAAACCAATACGTTACAATACAAAAAAAATCTGGAAAGGCACAGTATTTAGATTAAGAAGTCTTGACTATAACGTATTGTTTCCTTACTATATTTGCACCTTTATCCAGCATGCCCATTATTCTGAACATCATATAAAAGATCAGCATAAACAGAATTTTTATAATTATGTCTGTGTAACAAGTTGACATGGCACAATAATGCAGCCTAGCAAGCATTTCTTTAAACATCAGCCAAAAAATATCAGAGAAAGTAGGACAGATACTGCAAAAAGTTATCAAGAACCCAAATCTGCAAGCAAAAATTTACTGGAGAATACCATTTTAACACAGAGCTAGCCACTGGGCTATGAAGTAGATTGTAAAACTTTCTAACTTCTGCATACATTTGCCCAGAGAAGCAGATGCCTCATCCTTGGAAGTATTCAAGGCCAGGTTGGATGGGGCTTTGAGCAAACTGGTGTAGTGAAAGGTGTCTCTGCCCATGGCAGGGGGGTTGAACTGGATGATCTTTAAGGACCCTTCCAACCCAAACCATTCTGTGATTCTGTATGCAACACGGAATTCCTATGAAACTGCAAAACATCTGGCTGAACTGATTTTAAAAATCTGTCGAATGACTGTATAAATACAAAGTCAACAGATTCCATTTCAAAATAAAAAAAGTCTTCAGTAATCCTTTCAGTATCACTATCTTACTACCACCTAATTTAAAGATTTCCAAGTAGGTCTCTCTGTAGCTTAAACTAATTCAGAGACATTAATATTAAACTGCTTATGCCAAGAGGAGCAAGACAAGCAGCATTCATTTATGTAGTTGTGAACTTTACTGAAAAAATAGGCCTATCTTAAAAATATTACTAATTAATTGTAAAGGAAACTCAGCCCAGTACTGCTTTCAGGACTAGAGATAAAGCATGTTTCTTAAGGCATTCAACAGCTAACAAAGTCAAGGAAGCCAATCATTTTGGACTTTCTTCACAAGAAACAGGGAGAGGCTAATCAAAGCCTAAGTACCCCAAGTTTATGTGGCTAGATTTAAAAACTTATGTCTATTTGTCCATGCCATCCCTCATGCAATTTCAACCCCAGAAGAGGCACTCAGCTATTTTTAATACGCTGAAGCAAAAACAAACCCCAGATCCACTACTTGCTCTTGATATCTCTTTCCTACTAAATATACACAACTTATCTCTTGCAGATTTTCTTTTTTAAAATAGTAATTTCAACGAAGTATGTAACCTACCAGCACGGAACAGAGGTATCAGTAGAATGAGATGACCAATGAGCAAAACTACAGGTGTCATATTTTGCTGCAAAACAGAAGATTTTCAAATGCTGGGTTAAGACTGTTCAAGCTGCACTGTTCTCTGCACCCTGCATTACTTAAAAAAAAAAAAAAAATCAGAAGAAGCATTAGTCATCTTGCAGAGGGAAAAAATGGATTTGGTAAGCTGCTCAGTCTTCAGCTTTCTACTACAACTTTTCCTGAACTAGAACTATTCTACTGGAATAATTCTTGCATAAAATATAATTATCTTTTGCCAGCATAGTTAACTAAAAAATCCCCACACAACCCTGAAGCACAGAAGAATTATGCTAGCATAGTGATTTCAGCTATACCACATAATTTAAAAACCAAGTTTGATTGTCTTTCCACATGCTTACAAGTGACACAATCAGAGAGATGTACGAGGTTTCATTCTTTGAACTGTTTTTGTATGACTGAGGCATCACTGCTTTTAAGAGCAGATAACCTACAATTCTTTAAAAGCACACTAACTTTAGTGTGACCTGGCACTTAAAGTGGCATCTAAAGTCGAATGTGTAGAAACCGCAGCTAATATGAATTGCTGTGGTCAGACACAAAAGAAAAGTGTCCATAATTGTAGTTTCACTTCACACCTCAGGTCTTGTTTTCAGTTTTCTCCAACTAAGACATGATTAAACAGACACACACTGCCCTCATGGCCTGCAAGTGGCTTCTCTGAAACCTCTAAACCTTAACCAAGTCCTACTCCCCTCTCAGATGCACCTGCATTTTTTTGGCAAGGTGTCATTAGAGATCTCCCCAAACCTTCTACTGTCAGCCAGCTGGGAAACACTTAAATCCTTTTTCTTCTGACAGCTCCTTGTAAGTTAAGGTCTGCATTTAGCTGTCGTGTCTTTCCTCAGCTTCTGACTATTTTGTGTGTTGCTGCTTCTCACTCTAAAGCAAATTGGTTTCGATTGAAGCAGTCCATTGCAAAACATTCATTGCAAAGGTCCTAGTTAATATTGCTTTCTACCCAGCTAGAAATGGCAGGAAGAAAAGAAGATATTCCCTGAAAAAGTCAGCCTTGACTTACTTTTATATCCAATGTAGTTCAGTGACAAATAAGCCACACCAGCTCCTTCTTCTGAAACATTTCAGATGTAGAAGCGTTGGGGTAGTAGGGAGGGACACACAAAGCAGAGTTCAACACTTTAACATATTCTTTTGGACAGTTTATCTGACAAAGCCCTCATACCACAGACTTTATTCAGTTGCCTTATATGTGCTTTTCCTGTGACTTGCCAATGAGCAGATCGTCATTCTTGAAGTTTCAGTTTATCTGTAAAAAGCAGAGAAGGGGGGAAAAGGAGTTTACAAAACCCATCATTTGGACAGCAGCATACACATCCAAAACCAAATTTTCTACAGACATCCAAAATATAAAAGCAAGAGCATCACTCTCCCTACACTAGAGAGATGACTTAATAGAGTAACAACAAAACTTGCAGTAGAGATCGACCAAGAATTCTAGCAAAGATCTTTGGACAATGAAGTTTCTGTCAAAAACAACATAATATTACACAGGTGGCAAGCAACTTCATAAGACTAATTTAACCACTAAAAGGAAACAAAGAATACTTAAACATTGGGCAAGATAATAACAACTAAGCAATCCAACAAGTTAAGCTTTACATTTTGCACTCATTATTTGCCTCCAGTACCAAGAGCAGATGTCTTTCCAATACTGTATGCTAAAGCACAGCTTTTATTGAAGCAGTAAAGCTAAAACTTCTATAAAGACAGGAAGAAGCCTCTAACTTTGCAGTTACAATGCCTCACAGTATGCAGAGCATATTTATCCTGGTCAGTAAGGTTTCAAGTGACCACACAAGGGTTCTACATTTTTTCTTAAACGAAATACAAAGAGAAACACTACCCAAAATCCACAAATGTGAAACAACAAACTTTGCTTAGAAAGCAGATGTTTGATCACATACTCAACAACTTTAGCCTGGTAGTGCCTCCTATCCCAGTCTCAGCACTATGAAATGTCCCCAGGATACAACGACAGAAGCTCAAAAATTCCATGTATAGAGAATTCCAGTTTCACTGATGACACATAGTCTGGAAAACTGTTTTCAGTTCAAAGCTTAATGGCCTCGAAGGAAAAATGCACATGAAATCTTTTAAGAAATAAAGGGGGAAAAAGCCAACAACAAACAAAATCCCACACCACTTATAAAGTTTGTGGTTGAAGTTACCAAAAACAGTTAAAGCATGACAGCAAAGCATGTTAAATTTCTAACAGACTTGTTTCAAGTCTACCACTTTCCTGAGATCACAAATTTCCTGTCTAACATACTCAACATATAAACAGAATGCAGTTGATCATTTTACAGGGGCATGCACAAACACTGTGTCACACAACATGATGCACAAGCACTCTCAAGAAGCTCACAGAATCTATAACTGACTGTGATCAATTATAAATATCACAGTTATCAGACCAGTCAAGTTGGTTGTCCACTGGGGTATTCTGACACTGACATGATGGCCAGTAAATTTGGACCTCAAATGTCTCCCTTCCTAACAAGTTGCAGAACTACAGAAAAGTTGTACCTTTAAGGAAAACCCATTATCCAGGGCATTATGTTGAAGCTACATCAAAACACAGTCAAACAATGTTCACAAAGAAGCCTGCAACAGTTCAGTCTTTGCAAGCTAAATTCCAGTTCAGCCTTGAGATAAGTACTAACTATTCTAAATCTGAATTTGAAGAAAGTGTATTTCTTCAAATTCAGGTACTGCCCCAACTTTCACCAATGAACAGGAGGAAGGAAACAAAATTACTATCTGTAGCTGTACATAACTGGCCACTACTGGTTGACCCTAGTACAGTGAAGTGCTACCTATCCATCTTCTTCCACGTCAAACTGGAGGCAATGGCAGTATCCAAACCACCTTGAAAGAAGCAGATCTTATCAATATTCAAATAAATTAAAAACAGTACCTTCTTTCAGTATCAAGTGGAAGGAGTTAATTTCACAGTCTGCTCTTCGAAGACTTTTCTATGTCATTTCAACTCCTGATACCTGTCATTGTAAAGTAATAAGAATTTTAATGTCACCCATTTTTTATTTAAATCCAAAGTAAGTGATTCATTTTCCATTATCATTTCAAAGTACTGTTAAGAAGCATTTAAAAGGACCTGAATGGCTCATGCAGGTAAAACTGTATGTATCAAAAATAGTGATGCAAAGTGTTAACAAAAAAAAAGCATTATTCTTAGAGGGAGAGAGGAAATCAGTAATATTTTTTACAAAAAAAAAAAAAAAGTAACATGTATTTCTCATTTAAGGATTAATTTAAAACATCTGAATAAAAATATCTCAATTAAAGATTCTGCATTCTAAAATAACTTTTGTTCATGACCTTTTAGCCTGTTTTTTGAGGATCCAAGCACATACAAATCATCCAAGTCAAATGAGAGCACGATGCTGAATTTCTCAAGAAGAAAAACAAAACACATCCAGCAGCTTGCTTGAGTCCCTGAAGAAACTCTCCAAACTTAAGAGCTGCTGCTGGAAACAAACCAGAACCTTGATTCAGCTTAGTAGTTTTTAATGGATAGCTCACTCCTACCAAGCTATGGCTGTCCAGGCTGCTGCCAAGAGCTATCTAGGAAGCGGCCAGAACAGGTCTGGGATTGTTAGAGCAGCAGCTCCTTGCTGGGTTTGATACAAGTATTTCTGCAGGCATCACCCAAAACCTTGCTCTTGTCATATGAACAGTTAAAAAAAGGAGCCTTTCCTGGTCATCCTTATGCAATAAATAAATACAGAAATAGTTTCTGCCACGTTTACTAGGTCAAGAAGATTTACGCCAAACATTATCCCGCTTCCTGTTACAAGTACTTTAAAAAATGTGGCAGCGTTAGCACTCCTACAGCCTTTATTTATACACTGCACTCGTACCTGGGCTTGTACAATTAGACTCACAACGAGGGAGCAGACACAAAGGCAAAATAAAAAAGTTACTTCTAAGGACGCTATTTAGTGCCGTGAAAGGTGGGACAGCAGCAGCCACAAATAGAGGTTGGGAGACTGTGTCAACACACCTCGCAGCAACACGCACGGCCTCAAAACACGGCTAAAAGTAACACAAACCCAGGGGCTGGGGTTGGTTTTTTTGGAAGCCATCAGCCACTGCAGCCTAAACCTGCCGAGGAGCCGCTCCCCGCTGCCGCGGACCCCGACCGCCCTGGGGCGCCGGGCGGGGGACCCTCCCGCCGCCGCCGCTCCCCACGGTGCCAAAGGACGGCAAATGGGCCACGGCGCGACGGGACACGCGGGGAAAGGAAAGCCCAGCCGCCTCCGGGCCCGCCGCGCCCACACCGCCGCCCTCCCCGTCACGCGCCGCCTCGGGGAGCGAAGCGCTGCCCAGCGCCACGCCCTCCTCAGCCCGGTCCCCGCGTCCCAGCCCCCGCCGTCCGCTCCAATAGCGGGCGGGCGGGCTGGAAGCACACCCCGCCTCGCATGGGGAGCCGCGGCTGCGCCTCGCCCGCCCGAGGCCGCCCCCGGCCCGCTCGCTCCGCACCGCCGCTGCCCGAGCCGGCGTGCGGCTGGGAGTCCGGGCATCGCCGCTGAACCCCGGGCATGTGAAGCACCGGGCACAGGGCGAGCTGGGTCCTCATGATAGCCCCCTTTTCCCCGGCATCAACCCACATCCTTTAGCTCTCAAGCCTGGATTTAGTTCCCCTTCAGGCTGTAACCTCGGGGCGGCCAAGCTGACTTCAGCGCAATGTGGACAGCAGTTTTCCTTTAGGCTGCCCTCGGGACTCACGGAAAGCCTTGACCGAGCTGACCTAGGAAAGCATGAGAGCCCTTTGGCCAGCTCAGCGATGCGCTTTGCCGCGGAGTGGAGCTAATTTTCATTTGGCAACCCGATGGGAGCAGACATTTCATGTCCTCAAAGAAACAGATCTACCCGTCCACCGCAGTGCATCCAGGGCATGACCGACTTAACTCTGTCTGCTCCAGGGAATTGTCGCACAAGTGAAACCAGTCCTTGACAAATCCATCACCCCATTCACGAGTTGAGTGCACGGACTCACTTCTGCCTGGTATTTACCAGAACAGGCAATGTCAGTGCCTGCTGACACCATTCCTATATTCCAGCACCTGAAGTCGCTCAGTCTCTTTTTGGAGCAGAGCTCTGTTTGCTCGCCATCACGTAAGCTCCAGTTGGAAGTAGCAATAATCTTTAAGACCTCTTCCAAGCTAAACCGTGGTTCTATGATTCTAAGTGTTTACTTTTTTCCTGGTTTGATCAGCTATCTCTTCCCTTATGCCAGGGTACCACTTTTTTGATTCAAACAATAGTTCCTTAAGGTTTATGTAGAAACTCTATACAGTTCTCACTGTTCGGTCTGATGGTAAAACTAAACTTATTCAGACATAGAAATGCGAATTTTCCAGAGAGCAGTTTCCCTGGAATTGTTTCCTTCTCCACAGTTTTAAATTCAGAGCCTTTTTGCCCTTTGCTTGTCTTCACCTCTTTCACTTTGATTGCCGTAAGCTTACTTTTAGTCACTTCTCAAAGAGATGACTATAGGCTATTCAGTAATTGTTTATCCCCATCTCTGCTTTTATTCAAGATCCACATTCATTAATTTTATTTGTATTCCAGTTGAAGTAGACATACAATTTAATAGGAATTATAAAAATGAAATATAAGAAGAAGCTTCATTTGAGGTTTGAAAAATTTCCAAATTGTCAGCTTGGTTAAGGATTTGGAAAAATGTGGGAAGGCATGTTTTACTTATTAAATGGTAGACGAGATGTCCAATCCATACTTACAGAACCATTACCCTTTTCCAAGTGGGAAGCTTGGGATTTTTTGGGATGGAAGGGTTTGTTTTCTTCCTTCTTGGTTTCATTAACACTAATTAAAGGAAATAATAAGAGATTCTCATACTGACTTCTTCCATGTTGTCAGTACCAAGATGAAGAGCTGGCTTGAGCCATGGACCTCTCAGACAGGAAAGCTGTGAAATGTTTACCAGCTTATCTGATAATATAAATGGGGAGAAAACCCTTTTTAAGCTGGACAGGGAAATTTCTATTCCTGTTGTTGTGTGTGATTGTAAGCCGTTGCAAACTGTATGTTAGCTGTGCAAAATTGTTTTTATCTGCTTTTGCCTTCACTGTTTTTGAGTCAAGGGGTGTTAAGGTGACTGGCTAAACTGGGGAAATTTCATAGGCCATAGCAATCTTAAGAACAAAGATGATAGAGTTTTCTAAGAGTTTATCTGCCCAATACTTTGCAATGCTTCAAATGAAGCTGCACAAGGTTTGATAGTTGGTGACCCAGGAGGGTTGAGAGAAAGAAGTGTCTCCCAGTAGCTAGCAACGATTAGGAAAGCTCTCCATCATGTAGCAAGAGAATAGGGAGCATCCCAGAAATCAGTAGTCTCAAAGAAGTGTAATGACTTATATATTGGATGTATAGTATGCTTGCTAAGTGTTGAAGAAAAAACAGTCATTTGTAGAATGTGGTGCACATGTCTATATCCATAATTCTGATATCCCATATCTGTCATGACCACACTGTTAAAGTAACCCCCCTAAAGTACTCTCTGGCACTCATTTTAGAGAAACTAATCACTACAGACTGAAAGTACACTTCCAAAAGAACGCACGCAACTGTCAGCGCTGCCAAATTGTGACTCAGGAGCAAAGTATGCATTTTTCACAGAGCAGAGGATGTTTCCTAGAGTTTACTAAGAGTGATGTGAATGAATTGATCATGAAACATTAGTAAGAGTCCAGTTAGAAAGCAGTAATTTGCAAATTTCTTTTCCCACAGTAGAGCTGTTTTCCCAAGTGAGTTTTACAACCTAACCTGTTATGTCAATTACTCAGTCGACTGTCTGAGTGTACCTAAGCACCGAGTAAACACGTCACTGGGAAAAGCCTGTCATTGCTACCAACTGCAGGCCTCTGAGGCATGTTTCAGGTCTCAGACCTCTGGACTGGTGCCTAGGCTGCTAGCGAGACTGCATTTTTCAGAAATCAGTCAACACCAAGAAGCCAGACAGGGGTCTGTGTCCTTCAGTATCCGAGAGTAACTGGCCTGGCTGAACTTCAGAACAGCACAGTGCATTGTTCCAGTTGGCCCTGAAAGGTACGGCTCCTCTCCCCACACAGTGATCAGCGATGTTGTAAGTGGTGACTATGTCACAGTAGTTAATTCAAAGGCTGTTTGGTAATTCCACCGAGGTTCTGCACAGGACTCTTTTGACTTAAAGTTTAATATGGGTTAATGTGGAAGGTAAGAAAGAAACACTAATTTTTGTCAGAGAGACTATTTATACTTAGTTAAATCTTGTTACAGCTTACTGCAGCACCATAAGCTACGAATCATTGAAAATACACACCAGTTCTGAGTATCCTACAGTCTGAACACACCTATTTTAGCACACCAGCAGGGGTTGTGGCCACCAAGATCCTTATTCCAGAAAATCCTAAATCTTGGGGTGGTTGATTTTCTGGTCACCCAAGTCCAAAGTCCAAATCAACACTGAGTAGCTACATATCCTACTAGATCCCACCCCTTAATACCCTCTTGTACAAAACTCTCTCTTCTTAGGGAGAACAGGGTAGCAACAGAAACATGAGGACACACACATCACATTGTACTCCTAACAGTGCTTTTAGTGTTACTCCTGCAAAGGCATGTCAGACCCATTTAGTACACATCACAGTAACCTGGAACAGGTTCTCCTGTACTGAGATTTTTTCAGTTATACTGCTTGGCATTTCCACAGAAAAGAGAGGGAGTTCATAGTTCATATTTGATCAGGTGTATCGATCTGCACTTAAAGCAAATTTATACTGGATAGAAGAACTGATCTCAAGTTGACATTTTAAGTAAGTGAGAAACATGAATATACCAGTTAACTCAACAGACAGCATTTGGAATCTGGTTTAAAATAAAAATCAATGTTTAATTTTTATTTTTGAAAAAACTAGAAAATATTTCTTAACTTCTACATCAAAATCACTTCACACTTCCAAATGCAACTGCTGCTTAAGCAGAGGAGTTCTTGGCAGTTAGGAGACTGTCACTGCAACACTTAGCCAGGAATGCATGCTCAGAGCACCTTTCTCCTCCTGGCCCACCCAAAATCGCTGTGGATTTCTTTACAGAATGCTTCTCTTCTGTATTTTCTGTGACTCCTTTCCATGCTTCCTGAGAATAGTTGTTGGGAACTTATCCTTTTTGCCTTCAGCACAAAGAAGCTATATAGCTTCATTGACTAAGCAGGTTCAAAGCCCCACTTTCTTGGCTTTACCACGTTGCTGCTTCACTAAATCAGCCATGCTTGTATTACTGACATTACCTGAGTAGTTCTGGTTTGAACCAAAACAGTTCTCAAGGCAGATCCTGGAATGGCTTCAGGGTTATTTGTCTCCTTAGGACTTCCTTGAGGCGGAGACAGTATGTTAGCAGTAACAATACCCATCAGAGCCAAAGCAAGTGACACCTTCACTAGCAAGTAGTTGAGTCATTGAAA